AAGATATTAATAATGTATCTGATGATACAGCATTAACATGAAGATAACTGATAGGTATTGTATCTATAATGGGACAAAAAATAAAGAAGTATGTATCTTTTGATGCATCACAAATAAATAAATCATTGTTACTTTATGTAGTCTAGCTATAGTAATGCACATTCTTAATTTCCCACTTCCTCCCTCTCCCCCTCCCTGACTCCCTCTCTCTCCACTTGATGCTCCTCTTCACTCAGTTTTATATTTCAGTTAGCACTCTTATTTTGATGTATACATGCTGGTGTGATTAACTAGCCCACATACTTTTAACATTAAAGTTGATACGTTGTCTGATACTTGAACTAATGTCTGGTATTGTATTCCTACACTCAAGGGTGCTCCCATTTATTAAAGTAGACACATTACCAACTGCAGTTGAGATTAGTGTGACATTATTATGACACAGTAATTTAAAATTAAACAGTGCGGTATTATCTTCACCAGTTTTTACAGCATCAAAGTAAATTAGAAATTCTTTATTATATTGCCAGGCCACTACTTGAGATCCATTCACAATACAAGTTATCATTAGTACTTCTCCTTGGCATACTGAGACATTACCGGTAGATGGAGATAATTCAACTAAAAATAAAAAATTGGATAGTCACAAATTCAGAGTGCCAGGGATGAGTAGAATAGAGTATGTTGCTTATGATGACAATAAATAAATTCATGTGATTGTAATACTAGGAATCTATTACGTCATAGAGTTACACAAGCACACTTTGTTATGATAAGGTATAACTCTCTACTCTGTACTGTCATCGGGTAAAATTTATATAAAAATTATTAAATATACTAAAGGAAGTTAGCAGAGGCAACTATAAGTCTATTTCAACACACCTGTTGCTTGAGAGGAGGCAAGAGAATGAAAACAGTGAGCAAACAAAAGAGAAGTCAGAAACTTGAGCTGAAGCTCTATTTCTCTTAAGAGTATGTGTAAGCCCCCCCACCTGACTACACATACTCCTACTGATATATCTACTTGCACTACTCATATGTCTACTTGTACAAATAAGATTATGACTAGTCACTGCAGTAGCTAGACTATTACTATAGATCTAGTTATATTCAGTGATGACAATGTGTATCAAAATTTTAATCATATCATTCCAGTAACAAAATTAGCAATTATATAATAGTTTAAGTACCTCTAAAGTACGTATTTTAGCTAGTAAGATCTAATTATAAGTTTTTAAAATAATGATACATTTAAATCACTCAAAAAATTATGCTGTCCCTTATTATAATAACAACTAAACTCCTTGGCATACTGAGACAGTAGAGTATATACACAGCCAAGAATTTTACCGTCTTTGCCCGGAATCATGGCTGATATCAATCAGGATCAGCCTTGATACATCCCTGTATCATTGATTTTGGGCAGCCTGTAAAGCAGTGAGTCTAGCATGATACAATCATGATAACCATCCATGATACAACAATGCTGGAGTACGGCCCTGGTTCAGCCAGAGCAACAGACACGATTCAACATTGATGCCAGTCACGACTGTATCAGAGATGATAATCCTTGGCCGTGTACTACCTTAGGGCCACTATTATTTGTGAGTGCTAATTTTTGCATTTTTGCGAGTGGCTTTAAAATCACAAAAAATTAGTACTCGCATTTATTGATAATTTAGGTTTATAAACAGTTATTAATGGGAAAAAAAGAGCAAAATCGAAAAAAATTAGTACGTGCTAAATCAGTACCATTAACCATAGATACGTTCAATATCTATGCA